CACATTGTGTACCAAGAACTGGTCTGTCTTGAGAGATATGCATTGCCGTAGTTAAAAAATTGATGTGTTATAAGTGCAACAGCCTACTGATGTTTGAAAAAGTACAAACAAATTGTCTGGTCATAATTATCGTCTTCAAATTCTTAACAATTACTGTTACATTTCAGTTGGGTACATCAGATTGATGTTGAACCGTTGTTCTACAAAAATAGAAAAAAACGTTACTCTTTTTTTACTACAAATGCAGTATCAAAACATACAAATTGCTATTAGTAGACAAACGAATGCTTTGCGTGATAGCAATCATCCAACCAATGAATGCATAATGTGATGTGAGAATTTGATTAGGTACCAACGGTATAACAATAATGCTTGCTGAATTCAAACCTGACAGTTAATTCTGTGTGCACATGCAAAGCCACTGAGATATGGAGCCTAGATTAGACCTAGATTATACCACAGCTGTTGGTAAGAATTTACGGACAGGGACAGGCCATCGTGGTTGGGCTGCAATTTTAGTACGCTGAAACTGGTCTTGCGCAGCCAAGTATGTGAAATCCTCAGAAAATGCTATTTCAGTCCAATATGATAGTATAGGTCTGTGTTCAGAAACGTCGGCTCCATTATGGGAGCAACTTTGTACACTTCGGATGGACATCGGCAGCTCAGGAACGTGCGTCCTAAAAAGCTCCATAATTTCATTAGCCTTTCTTAAATCCATATCACCTCCTTTCATTACCCCAACTACAAATCTGTCTAGCTGTTGCTTCATTGACGGATTAACAGGTGGCAACATCTCAGTAGTGGTACCATCTAGATTTCATTATGAAAAAAGCCTGAACTATACCGTTTGCTGCACTAGATGCAAAATGACAGTAAATACAGGAGGCAGAGGCCGATTTCGGTACAATACTGCTACAATACTCAATAGCTACAGCGTGACCTGCTTCTTTTACATCAAATGAACTACTGATTTCATTGTCGGTGATTGTTAACTGGTACTTATCCTCAAAATCGGCTCTTGACTTCTTCAACCTTCTATAAAAAGTCGATCGAGGGCAGCTCATCAAGTTTGACACTACGTTGGCTATAACCCGTCTGTCATCCATTTCATGACCGTCTACATTATTATTCTAAAAGAAGCAGTTTGCTACGGTCAGACAGGATAGAATCAGTAATAAGAGTCTGTGACGGTACAAACAACTCACCTGGATGGCATAAGATTTTTGAGAAGCGGTGTGAAACCAACGCACCTTCGTCTCGTGTCTGTTTAACATACTGAAACAAGACCCAAGTGTTGTGCCGTAATGACGAGTGAACTTCACTACCATATTCAAACTAGTATTATTACATGTAATTTCATTGTAACTGTGTAATAAGGATTTTGAGGTTTTTCTTCGGAATTTCCCCGAACGTTGGGCAAAACTGTGAATTTTCATTGGACTTTGAGGAAAACTTTGACAATTCCACAGAATCTAGAGAGTGGCTTCTCTTTGGACTGCGGGCATAGTAAGATCGTGGGTATAAGAGATGGGAGGAAGTAAGTTATGAATATTTTCTGTAGCACTTCAAGATTCAACATATTTAGTAGCTTTTAGGTCAGCTAAAAAGTCGTGTATAATTTGTACGCATATTACAAGTAGTCTTGTGTCCACAGCTTCTGTAGAAAACCAACCCGAGTCGAGCATATTCCATAATATGGAAAATCAGTAGCTTCAGTACAAGTAGTCGTGTTGATTTCCTTCTGATCGATATAGTATCACTTCACAAGTTCGAAATAAAAATGACTTGCTTTCGTTTTCCACTTCGATGTGTTCATTTGTGTCGCAATGACTGAACACAGGACAAAACAATCTTTTGAGTAAAGTGAAATCACTCGCTCAATTGGTAAAATATAATAACAATCCATCGAATATACCAGTATTCTAGTTTGACAACTATTAACCAGTATCACCTTCTATATTCGAATTATCCCTCGCTTGATTAAAATCAGAAGTCAGATGTTGAGGGGTTAGTAAGATATATTTGATGCGTTGTCAATATATCGAGAGGCGGTTGTTCTAATCTGGTTAGTGAACGTAGGAGCTGTTTCCCACTTTGAGTCGTAACGTGATCTGGTGCGGATGCATGACTGAAAGCCTTCCGTTAAACAAGTCCACTTAAAACAATGTGGTCAGCATCCAATGTCGAACATTTACAGAGCTATTGATTTTGAGGGAATTATTTGCAGCTACAATACCATTTTCACAGTTTTGAATTGTCTCTCACAAGCTCCATTGTTCTTTCATCCTTGTTGTTATTCGGAATGCCTCTATTTTTCTAACTTTCTCTCTACTTTCCATCTCACTCACAATTCTTGATACATAATACTTATATTTGCCCGTTTTATTGGCAAACACCTCTCTAACTGTTTAGGTTTCTACTGAAGCTGTTCGTTTGAAGCTGTGACACTAGATCTGTTTTTGCATCTCAGTAGTGTTTAGTGCATCATCATCTATCTATACTTTATGATAAAACCTCTTATTCTAAGGTGACGCTTTGAAATGACTCTCGCATCTCTCCCTTACATTTACTAAACTTACATTTATTACTTTGCTTGTGGTGTGTGCTACTGATATCGACAGATATAAGTAGTAGGTATCATGCTTGGTGTCAGAAGGTTAAGAAAATCAAAAAAGAGAAGGAGAACCGAAAATGATTGATTTGGAAGTGGAAGAACTATGAAAGCTACTGCAACTAGAATGCATGAATTAGTCATTGATAGAACTTCCTTGATCCAGAACAGCGACATCTTACCATTTTTAATTCATTAACGATAATCCCGTTTCTGAAAAACGCCCGTCATAAAAATGTTCATTAGATCGTTGTGATTCAGATCTGAAATTTAATAAAAGTAGGTGATAGTGATTTTGTTTAGGATAACAATGATAAAGTCTCATTTATTATTATTATAAAGTCTCATTTAAACTATCCAACTACTGAAATATAGTAATCATCTGATTTATAAATGATTTCCATTTTAGGGGGTACCGAATAAACCTGTTCATAAGCTGAGAAATTATTATCACAAACAATGGTACAAGAAGGTACCAAATAGATATGAGCCACATAAATCATTCAGTTTGTGTGAGGGCTAGGATACAGCCCCGATGCCCAAACCGAAAGAGGTGGTTTTGTTAGGGGGCCACACCCCGAGCCTTCGATCCAAAGCTCTTATCCACAAGGCAGTAGAGCAACATCAGGAGATGCAGTCTCATGATAACCGGTGACCACCAATATGTTCATATGCGATTTGTTTCCTCAGGAACCTGGAGCCCATATGCACCATTGGTTTAGACTCAGGGTTTTCCAATTCCCTTAAGTGGACCGTCCATGTCCATAAACCCGGTTGAATCGCCAAACATTCGCTTTCCATGTTTTTAATTTTGTAGGACTTCCCTTACAGTGGTTATATGCAAGTGGTCATGTGAGAGCATTCCGAGAAAAAGAGCTGACTTTCCACACTCTCTACCGTATCAGAGTATTTGAGGGCTGAAAAGTAAAAGCAAAAGGGAAATAGTATTCATCGTTGAGAATATAAACTGAATCACTTTAAAAAGTCAGTCAACTAAACTACTCCAACCTCAGAGTTTCCCTGACGGTATTCAAGTATCTTATCAATTTACACAGTTACATGTTAATGGAATATTTAAATGAAAATTATAAGTTTCATATAGATTAAATTATACGAACAAGTATAAATTACAGTTGTGAACCATATAAATCATTTGTGTACAAATTCCCAATTATAAATTTCATATAGAACTATATACGTACTGAATGATGATATTGGTGAGAAATATCAATTTATTGTTTGATGAAGAATTACAGAGGGTCTTTGCAAAATATGAAATTTACTTACACCTATTGCACTTCGTGGTAGGTCATAGATTGACTATTCATCGTTTTCATGTCCGCTTCCAATACTCAACACAGTGTGTTCTTTGGTCCTCCTCCTTTTTGTTTCCCTTCAGGATTCTAAGTTAGCTCGCGTCTCGTGATGCAGCTTGAAGATTTCCGTAATGTATATTTTGCCCAACTCCATCGTCTTATCCTTATTTCCTGTTCATATAGAAGCTTGTTCTTTTTCTCTACCACAGTAGGTTGTTGTTGATAGTGTAGATGGTGTTGAGTCTCGTTTGACTATGATCACCACTATAATAAGATCACGCGCCCAGAAACGACTTGGTTCCCTCATTAACTCGCAAACCAGAAGTCTGTAACTGGTCTGTAACTGGCAATCTCGTGATATCAAATAAATACGGAGATGTACCAAAGATTACAGGCAATAAGAGCGGAGCACAAGAAAGTTCGAACCAACAAGATGGAAGCGGAAGGAGAAGTGACTTTGATACAGTTAAACAAGTACAGTAAAACAATCGCTGATACAATCGGTTATAATAATGTTTCTATTGTACCAATCGCGTTCTTGAAGGAAAAAAGCAGGTCACTACAACAGTATCCGGTCAGCAGACATTGAGCATCCTGCGTAGACACACTATTCATCAGTTTTCTGTAGCAAACTTAATCATCCTTTCATTCCTATTGTTATTACAATCATTCTTTGTTTTCATTTTGGTTTTCTTCAATTCTACCTTCTCAACTTTCTTCTACCTGACATCCCACATTTGATAGGTACTACGTACTACTTTTATCTATCGACATAAGTAGCATACACCACATTCGTCCTCTCTTTAAACAGTTGCTCTTACATTTATTCCACTAGCAATGTTATTTCCTTCTTCTCCACAATTCGTGCTATACTCCACATCCTAAATGTTGAGTACGCCGGTACTTTGACGTCTAATAGCAATATCAACTTGCTGAGCAGCAAGATGTTTGTTGACATAGGTAGCATACACCCACCTTATATATATATATATATATATATATATATATATATATATATATATATATATATATATATATATATATATATGGTACAAATTCTTAAAAATCCATGCAAATACTTAATTGTTCACTTTAATCAAACTAAGTTAGATGTTTAAAGTTCATTCTTATGATTTCATTATCTGTATATAAATACAATGGGAATGAATTGCTTACTATGTTATAAGCATAATGATATTACTACTTATTACTACTATTATTTTTGTATTATTTGTGGATAATGAAAACTGTCATCTTATTCAACAAAACAAAACATATTTTCATCCACTTTCTGATAAATTAATCACATTTATCAATAAACATGTAAGTTTAATGAAACATTTCGCTTACTATTAGAAGAGTTTTGTTAAGCTAGAACATCATTGAAAACCTGGAAGAGCTAGACGATCTTTTCATTCTAGTACGGGACTCCTTAGCAATGCACATCCTTTATTCCGCGAGCAGGATTCAAACACAGGATCTATCGATCTCACACTTGAACTCTTAACTTCTAGACTATTGAATACTCACTGTTAAGGAATCTCTTACTAGGACCAAACGGCCGTCCAGTTCTTCTAGGTTTTTCATGGTGATCTAACTTTAATGGACCCATTAATTCAATTCACTTCTCTGTCTATTTAATCTACTTATAAGTTTAAGGTAAAACTTAAAAGATATCGGTTACTAGTATCAAAACATTCTTTGTGAGATAACTCCAAATCAACCATATGAAACAAGTGTTTTCAGTATGAATCAATAGGATTGTGATTTGTTCCTATGTTCAGTAGAAACTGTTTGATTTGAATTGGACTTTCACAGTCACCAGTGTTTAAGTGCTTATCGAAAGTCTTTATTCATTCATAACAATTCTGACTTGTGTATGTTGGACATTGAATGTCTTCGGTCTACCTTAAGTTCGATAATTTGTAAGGAAATGCATAACCCCTATCAATTCACGAAATTGCGCAACCATTCACCAATGTTTTCAGTGAAATGATATCTCTACAACAGACCTGGTTGAACTACACTGGTTACTACTTCTCACTAGAAGTCCAGGAAATGCCTCATGAAGACAGTCACTAGTGAGCACATGATCATTATCAGAAAGGGTTTAGTGGAGATTTTAGTAATTTTATAGAATTGAGATCATGAGTCAGTTGAAGCTAGACCACCACGGAAAACCTGGAAGCACTGGATGGACGTTTCGTCCTAAAATGGGACTCCTCAGGAGTGCCAATCCATGATCCCGCCTCACGAGATTCGAACCCAGGACCTACCAGTCTCGCGCTAGAGCACTTAACTGACAGACCACCGAGCCGGTATCCAACGTTGTTAATGTCTAACTTCAATCAATCCACAAAATTGAGCACGAGACTGGTTGGTCATGGTTTCAAATATTGCGAGTGCGGGATCGTGGATGCGCACCGCCACACAGGAGCCCCATAATAGGACGAAACGGCCGTCCAGTGCTTCCAGGTTTTTCATGGTGATCTAGCTTCAACTGACTCATGATTTCAACTCTATAAAATTACTAAAACCTCCACTAAACCCCTTCTGATAATAACCACTATCAGTTTAGAATTAAATTTGCAAGAACACTAAGTAGTTTAGTAAACTAAAATCTGACTAATAATCTAAATAACCAAGTATGTATATATCGTATATTTTAGCCTAATTCTGGATGGAAAGCCAAAAGAACAAGTCGATTTATTACAGTTCAAGATGCTAAATCAATGATGGGTGTTATATTTGAAGATAGTAATCAAAGAAAAAGAATACGTCCAACAATCAGTCATGATAATGTTAACATTGAATTACCAAAATTCTTTGATTCACGTAAACATTGGAAGAATTGTTCAAGTATTAAAACAATACGTGATCAATCTTCATGTGGTTCATGTTGGGTAATAGATGATTTGTTATATTTTTTAGAAATAATATATATGGTTTTAAATTCACTTTATTACAGAATCACGTCGTTTGATGATGTTATTTACATCTTAAGTATATCAGTTTCCTTTCGTCATTTAACTGTCTAGTGTGACGTCCTAGTTTGACGTAAACCTCTCTAAGTGGTTGTTTATGAATTCGATTTCCCGCAGTCTTAACAAAAGAATTTCATGTTGTAGAAGCGATGGGACTCATCATTTAGATATTCCCGGGACTGAGGCACATCCACCTATAACCACTTTGTTGAAGTTACATAAATTTGCAAATCACTTGCCATTCTCGTTCCCTTCATCCAGTCCCATGATATCTTCCTACTCGGTATAGTCTATTCTGACCTTAGCGTTTATGTCTACCATCAGGATGGTCAGACTTTTCCTGACCACTTCTCCTCTGATAAAACTTATCTTTATCTCTAACATTCGTGAGTGTATAGCACTGGACAACATTCATCGTGATTCCCTCCTTCTTTGTTTTGAAGGATGCTTCGATGATTCTGAATCTGTGAAATTCCCATCCTATGGGTGCTTTTCATGCTTCTTTGAAGAGCATCAGAGCAGCTTCCTGCGTGTGCAAGGAATTTTCCCTTCATAAATAGAGTACAACAGCAACTCCCCCGAATCTAATCTTTTCTTTACAGCACGGGTCTGGAGAAAGTAAATTTGAGAAAGTATGAAAACTAAGGAGGCATCACAATACAATCAGAACCAGGAGAAATTCGAAACAGTGCCATTGAACGGGGTAAAAGATTAATTGGACGCCCAACTTTGAGAGGAACAGACTAAATTCCACTGTGATAGCTCGTTCACAGACCGGATCGCAGCACCTCAAATCATTACTGAAAAATCAACTGAATGTAATTCGTCACCATAAACCAACTTCCTTGACCGTGAGAAAGCGCTTGATAGAGTTGATCGAAGAACCTTCGACACTATGGTGTACCTGAGAAGATCATCAACGTCATGTGGAATTCATACAATGAACTATACTGTAAAGTCAGGCATGAAGGACAGCTGACAGATTCATTTCAAGTAGACATCGTCATCAGAAAGAACTGTTTACTCTCGCCCCTTCTGATAGTCGGCTGGATTGTGAACACTACCACATGTCAGGGGAAGCACAGAATATAATGGAGACCTTGGATGCAGCCAGCTATTCAAAAAAGTAGTTCTTCCATCCGATACACCAGAAAATAAAGGTGAAGAAAGCCAGTACAGTAGTAGCCTCTGAATCCATAAACTTCAAAATACACAAAGAAAAAACAAAATCTCGAAATACAACACAGAAAATACAAGCTAAATCATACTTAAAGTAGAATCTAATTTAAGTCATGCTCACCTTGACAGCATCATTGATAGACAAAAAAGATCTGATGCCAATGTAAGGGCAAGGATTGAAAAATCGATGGCGGAATTTCTGTAATTGAAGAACATACTGGACTGGAAACAACACTCAGCCAACATCAAAGTGAGAATTTTTGGTTTGAACGTCTAGATTCGAATGGAGCTGAAATTTGTAGAACTACTACAGCTATCATCAAAAAGGTCAAAGTACTTGTAGGAGTCGTCGAGTCGAGGATGGACTATGATCACCACTACAATGAGATTAAGCGCCCAGAAACGACTTGGTCTCTTTGATAACTCGCAAACCAGAAGGCTTTAATTAGTCCAGATAAAGTGTATTTATTGGCGATCTCGTGGTGTCGAAAGAATACCGAGACGTGTCAACGAGTACAGGCAAAATGGGCAGAGCGTAGGAAAGTTCGAACCAAACAAGGCGGATAGCGGAACAAGAAGTGAGTTTGATGCAGTTAAACAAGTACAGTAAAACAATCGCCGGTACAATTGGTTACAATAATAATAATTGTTTCTATTATTCCAATCGTGTTCTTGTCGAGACAAGCCGGTCACTACATATTTATCAACAATCGTCTACTCAAGATACTCAATGTCCGTTGACCGGATACTATCAGCAATAGCCTACAGTGTGAGGCAACGTACTAGCTTCAATTTGAAGATGAAATCAGGAAAAGACGTTGGAGGTGGATAACACATACTTTGTATAAATCGCTAAACTGCGTCACGAAGCAAGCACTAACTTGGAATCTTGAATTCAAAACGAAAAGAGTTTGACCAGGGAACACATTTTCATCAGGTATCGGATGCAGATATTAAAATAATCAATAGCAATCGGAATCCACTGGAAAGGATTGCCCAAGATAGAGATGGATAGAAAATGTTTGTGGGTGGCTTACATTCTTTCACGAGGGGAAAAACGTGTCATCCATGTACAGTAAGTTCAGATGACGATACAAAAACAGGACCGAATGACCATCCTGTATTCCATTTCTAACCACATTCTATCTGTTCTATATCAATATGTGTCATAATGACCTTATTGAGGCAATCTATTTAGGATTCCCGTGTGTCGACAAAGGCTGTTCGAATTCCAGTCAGTAAGAATTGTAAACTATCTTTTAATGTCTCAAAGTGAAGCTCCACTGAGAATCATCATATCATCATTAGATAATTGAAAAGATGTTAAATACAACCGAGATTCTAAAACGTAGAACACTGAACTATGATTATTTGCCTATGGTTTGTCGATGTGCAACCTGAATGTCTTGTATTTATCCATCTATGTATAGAAGGGTGAGAATTGACTAAAATACTAACATTAAGATGCAACTCAAGCCAAATACTCTTTTATTCATTGTTATGCTTCAACTGGCATCCCGATTTTGATTCTGTTAGATTGTATAACTTTTTTTCTGCATTAAAATTATACAGGCTTTCGGAGCTGTTGAATCAATGAGTGATCGTATCTGTATTCATTCTAAAAATAAAATCTCTGTAGAGTTAAGTGCTGTTAATCTATTAAGCTGTTGTACAAGATGCGGTTTTGGTTGTAAAGGTGGTATTCCTGGAATGGCATGGGATTATTGGAAATATGAAGGCATTGTTACAGGTGGATCAAATGAAACACATACAGGATGTCAACCATATCCATTCCCTAAATGTAGCCATCATTCAAGCTCGAGAGGTTATCCACCATGTGAAAGTTATAATTTTTCAACACCAGAATGTCATGAAACTTGTCAAGATGATTATGGAAAACCTTATAAAAAAGATAAATTTTATGGTTAGTATTATTACTCATGTTTTTGTATGTATATTGTAACTAAAACAGTAATTTTTGGATTGGTTGATGTTAGACATTAACATTGTAGAATACTGACTAAGTGATTCACAGGTGAAACGTTTTGATGAGAAGAAAGTCTTTGGTTCGTGTCCCTAGAGAGAGAGAGTGTGTAGGTGCACAGTACTAATGTGTCCTATTCCAAAACGAAACAGACATTCGGTACTTGCAGATATTCAACAGTAGTCTAAGATTGATCGATTTGTTCAAACGGTAATATAATGTTGGTTAGTTTTTACCTGATAAAACAGTTAGTTGACATACTTTTAACATTTTTTTGTTAAAATGTCTTGATCTGGATCGTGAACAACTTTAAGGTAGATTAGATTGTTTAAAAAAAGCTGCCGTTGATAAACTACGGTAGTCAGTTGATTGCTTGAAGGGTTAATATGTAAAATTTGTAAGAATGATGACAAGACGTTCACTGTATGCATGATATATAGATTATCCGTCGTAATACCAGGATGTTGAAGACCATTCTCCAATAGTTACAAGGCGAGATATCAATTAAGGGATGAGTATATTGAGCAGTAGTTTGCTCTGTCCTACTTTACGGAAGCGAAACATGGACATTAAAAGTAGAAGACACATGTAAGTTACTAGTATTTGGTCACAGATGTTCCAGAAATATTGACAACATCTGCTGAGATCACCGGGTAAGTAATAGTGAAGTTAGACACAGGGTATTATGGAATGATGGTATCAGTCCTTGAAGTTACTAACTTTTAGTCTGAGCCATGTTGGTAAGTGCAGACTACTTGGCTGGGGTTCACGTGACTATCGTAATTAATGGTTGGAGACTCTGAGTGACAGGGCTCAGAATCGACAACAATGGCGTCGGTGTATACACTCTTTGTCTTCCCTTAAACTGTAACATTAAAATAACTTTATATTTTTCTTTCTCCGAACTAATTCTTTCTCTCTGTACCATCTTGCTGTGCTCATGAGGTGTGGCAACTTGGACCGATGCATATATGCGCTTGGTCCTACACTGTAGCTTACTAACTGAGTTAAAAAGAATTATGTCTAGAAAGCTGAAATAAGTTGTCGAATGGGACGACTTACTTTAAATTCAGATCTTAAGAATCATTGATAATTTTTCATCATCTTAAGATGCAAACTGATAGTAAGTCTGGTCATGAAGACAATATAGTTCAGTTGCCATCAGAATGGTTGAGTGGAAACGCTTATGACAGTAAGAACTATCGGTGTCCGTCCGAAATCGACAAATAGAATATGTTCCCTTAAATAGATTAGATCAATGTTAACATGACAACTTAATCGATCGAGTTAATTCAACCTGAAGAACTACATGATCAAACAAATATAGACAGTGTTCCACAGAATTATCAATAAAATATAGAAGGGCGACTACTAATCAGTGACGATATACGCAGAGCCGGAGTTAACTACAATCTCTTAGTAACATCTCAGAACCATAAAGTAAATACTTCATTTACGAAATGTTAATCAGTTGTCTCAGACTTGATTGTCCCTTCATTTCCACACCAATCACTCTCTGTTTTCATTCTTTTCTCTTCAACCATTTTAACCTTTCACTTTTGATTGTTGATACATACTACTTATATCTGTCATCATCAGTAGCACACATCACAATGTGACATATTTAAACTATTAAAGTTACATAGTTGAAATCATGAGTCAATTGAAGCTAAACCACCACAAAAAACATGGAAGCACTGGACGGCCGCTTCATCCTATTATGAGACTCCTCAATGGCAGTGCAAATCCACGATCCCACGATTCAACTATGAAAATATTGAAATATTCACAAAAAACCTCTTCTGATCTATAATCATATGCTCACTAGTGACTGATTTCAAGAGATATTTCCTGGAGTTCTAGTGGGAAGCAGTGACCAGTGGAGTTCAATCAATTCTGTTGTGAGATATCAACTCATTGAAGATAATTGGTGAACGGTTGTTTAAACTTCATGGATTGGTTGAAGTTAGACATTAACACCATCGGATGCCGGCTCAGTGGTCTATCGTTTAAGTGCTCTGGCGTGAGACTGGTAGGTCCTGAATTCGAATCTCGTGAGGCGGGATCGTGGATGCGCACTGCTGAGGAGTCAAGTGCTTCCAGGTTTTCCATGGTGGTCTAGCTTCAATTGACTCATAGATTTCAACTATGAAAATACTGAAATCTCCACAAAACTCTTTCTGATTTATTAAAGTTTCATTTAGTTTACATTGAACTATACGTGTTTTTGTTTGTTTTGTTTCCTTTTAAAAGGTAAAAGTTCCTATAATGTAGCCGGTGAAGAAATTTCAATTATGAAAGAGATTTTATTAAATGGTCCAGTTGAAGGTGGATTTTATGTTTATGAAGATTTTCTTAATTATAAATCTGGTGTTTATAAACATATCACTGGTTCATATTTAGGTGGTCATGCTATACGTATCATTGGTTGGGGTATACAACAAAATCATATACCCTATTGGTTATGTGCTAATTCATGGAATAATCAGTGGGGTGATAAAGGATATTTTAAAATTTTACGTGGCACAAATGAATGTGGAATTGAAACCATGGTAACAGCTGGTTTACCAAATTTACATAAATAAACAAAAAAACCCATTTCATCATTCATTTAGATAAACAAATTAAGAGCCATGAAGTACTAAGATTCTATTATAGATTAGTGTTATGATTTTGTATCCATGTAATGTTGTCAATAAAAATCCATGATGAGTTATTTATCAGTTGTTTTCAACGGTGAGGAGCCGCTAACTCCACACTCAACCCTCCTCCTTTATACGGGCTTGATACTGACAATATTCACAGAGGGGTTGCCAGGCTTTATTGAATAAAAAAAGTGTTTGATGGTGTGGACAGGATAACACAATGAAGACTTCTTCGACACTATAGTGTGCCTGAGAAGATAGTTAATATCATACTTAATTCATATGATGGACTAAACTGCCAAATGGTGTAGAGAGGACAGTTCGTTCGAAGTAAAGACTAGTGTCAGGCAAGGTGATTTACTCTCACCCTTTCTCTTTCTCTTTCTGGTCGATTGGATTATGAGGACGTCAGCATTTGGAGGGGACTGTTAGGATGCAGCTGCGTGATCTAGACTTCGCAGATGATCAAGTGTGTTTATTAACAGTTGTCTAAGCAAAATACTTCGGATTCGTTGGCCAGACACTATCAACAACAACCTACTGTGGGAGAGGATAAACCAGATTCCAGAGGAGGAAAAAATCAGGAAGAAGTACTGGAAGTGGATAAAAGACACATTGCGGAAAGCACTTAACTGCCTCATAAGCAAGCCCTCACATGGAATCCTCAGGGTCGAAGCAGAAGAGAAATAGAAAAACATATTACTCCGATAAATGGAGACAGACTGTTATAATGCTAATCCATCGGGGTTTTCTTAGCGTAGGTTCGAATCCCATCCCTGTCGCCATTTGTTATAATTTGTAGCTTGCCTAGATGCCCTCTTAGTGTATAATGTGATAATGCTCCCAATAAGAGAGCAGTAATTTATCAGTCGGCCGAGTGGCACACAAGATAAGGCCAAATGTGGGAAGAAGTTATCAATAGACTGGGGATAACACTAGAAAGGCAAATCGTATAGTAATAATCTATGGGTCAAAATGAAGCGTACAATAACAGGGATACGACTATTAATAGTTTAGTTAGTTAACGATTATAAAATAAAAATATACACAAAGTATTAGTTCATAAATAGTCCTCAAAAGTTACCATTCCTAACTCTCTTCGAGATATAACACAGACATTAGAAGATTTAACAACAAGTGGATAAAAACTAGTAAGGAAGGTTCAGGACAGAGTGTGTTGGAGAATGTTGATTGGCAGCCTATTCTCTTCCATGAGGGGTAACAGATCTAAGTAACTTGATTGTCAGAAACATCCGAAGTTGAGACAATCTTGCAATGGAAACCCATATAAACCTGTAATTAATTACTTTAAACAAGTGTTTTCTTTTGACAACAGACGACATGTACTAAGAATCCCTGAGTATTTGTGAATTACTGATAACCAATAGAAATTCAAGACATAAGCTTCAGAATGATCAAGTTAGTGATTCCAGATTATTAATACTTTGAATTAAAAACATACCAGTTAACACTTCTAACTCCGCCTGTAGCTCCCCCGGGGGCTACTGCCAGTCCCAAGCCCGGGTAAATGAGGAGGGTTGGGCATGGGGTTAGCGATCCCATCCCGTTGAAATTAAATAAAAGTAGAAAATAGAGTTAATAATATAGTACTACTGTGGTATAGTTTACTTATATCTACATAAGTAGTATATGGTGATGGTCAGACATAGAATGTATTTTGGCAGAAGATCGATAAGGAACGAACAGGAGCGAAGCGCAATCGGTATGAAAATATGTGAACAATGAAATCAGAGAAGGTAGACTGATATTTGCAGAAAAATACAGTAAAGATTGAGACAATTGATTGTTACTTTGCAAATTAAGCATTTACTGTATGGTTATCAGATTTCAGCGAGATAGTCTGTAATTGTCTCCACCCATGTTCTTGTTCGTTACATTTGGTGTCGCTGCCAACCAAGAGGAGGAAGAGTGCTGTTCCGTGGACGCCGCTACGGGCCTGGAGTTTTACGATAATAGATCTTAAATTTTGAGCATAAAATTCACTCATCCATTTGGCCAAAATAACGTTTTGGTATTTAAGCTTATATCAGTTCGTGATTACATACCTTAATAATCAATTATGTATCATAATCCTTATTCTTTAAACTGCTTTATAACTATCATTTAGCCTCTTAGTAAGTAGGTCACTTAAGCTTTGCACAAAGGTTGTTCATAAATTGTAATCTTATTGTAATTTGGTTATTCCCCCTCCCTTCCCCCTCCCTCCACACACACACATCTGAATCTTTATTCATTACTTGAAGTTATTCGTAAACTATATTTTGGAACTAATACAAAGTACATAACAATTAAGATAGTTACTATGTGTGGATACATTGTGTTGTATTCATTTGTTTATTTGAACATTGAAACATTTATAGCTTTAAAGATTATAAAGATAAGCCTTTATTAGTATATTTAAGATAATGTTCAATTCAATTGTTTGTTTGAATCTTCCTATTGATGTTTAGGACTGTAACTGGTCAGTCTCTAATTAGTATACGTGCATACTGTGCCTATCAGGACTCAGTAGCTGAGTGGATAATGTGATGGCGTTTGAAGTGAAAGGTACCGGTTTCGAGTGCCAGAGTGACCATCAACTCTCAGATGCAGGTACATTCAGCTGACGAGTTGAAAATAGGACGAAACGTGCGTCAAACTGGATTCCACTGCTAGAAACTATCCATGTTTGCTTATAATGCTTGTGAATTAAGGCTATATCGAGGCGATATGCACAGTATGCACATATGCCAATTAGAGGCTGACCAGTTGCAGTCCTAAGCACCAATGGGAAGATTCAAACAAACAATACTAAGTGAATTTAAACTTCATCCCATTGTACAAGCAAGTGGCTATCAGAACTCAGTTGCTTAGTGGATAACATGATGGCGTTTGAACTGAGCATATGATTATAAATCAGAAGCGTTTTTGTGGATATATCAATATTTTCATAGTTGAAATCATGAGTCAATTGAAGCTAGATGAACATGGAAAACCAAGAAGCAACAGACGGCCGTTTCGGCCTATTATGGGACTTCTTTTTTTTGGCTGACGCAGGACTTCAACATCATGACAGTACTTCTACATTGATGCTAGAAAGTTCCTGTATTGTGTTTACTGGAAATTTCATAAGGAATTTCGATCTGTCTTAAAAATAAAGTTTATTGCTTCCATTAATTCCTTTGTGATTCCTAACTTAATACTTCAAAGCTGTATGGAGAATTGAAAGCAGAGGGAAATTACCCGATCCACACCATGGGATGAAATTCATATCGCAATGAGTGCTGAACAAGAGGACCCCTAGTGTTGAAGCGAAAGAGATACCCAAAATTGACTATAATGAATGAAATGTAGAAATTTGTTGGTTAAGCATTGATGATCAAATAATTCTCAAGATTTCATTTTTTTTACCTCAGTCATTTGGTGCTGTCGTAGTGATAATTAATTGTGTTTTCATCTACTCAGATGAAAAGAATTCTGTTGAACTGAGTGCCATGAATCATACAGAATGTCGTGATGGTTACTACGGTGGATCTTTTGTTCCCTGCTGAGATGATTGAATGGAAGAATGTATTATTACTGGAAGTTTAAAAGAAAGTTAAACTGACTGTCAAGTGTATCAATCCTTTAAATAGTAAAACCATGTCAAAGAAAATTCTCTCTCATCTTGTCAAATAATCTATGAAACTAATCATTGTAAACCAAGATTCAAGGCTGTATATTAATTGAAAAGTCTTAACGTATAATGAATATTTAATAATCAGAAGGGGTTTTGTGAAGAATTTAGTATTTTCATAGTTGAAATCATTAGTCAATTGAAGCTAGACCACCTGGGTTCGAATCTCGCGAGTGCAGGATCGTGGATGCGCACTACTGAGGAGTTCCACAATAAGACAAAACAGTCGTCCAGTGTTTCCAGGTTTTCCATGGTGGTCTAGCTTCAATTGACTCATGATTTCAACCATTAAAATTAAATAAGGATCTGACAAACAGTTAAACTATTATTGATTTAAATTCACTTAGTATTGATTGGTCGACTCTTCTGATTGATGTTTTGGGACTGCAATTGGTCAGTCTCTTATTGTTATATGTGTATACTGTGTGTATTCCCTCGGTATTGTCTCAAATCAAAAACATTATAAGCAAAGATAGTTGAGACTCAAACCCAGAATGAACATCAAATCTAAGATGTAGGCACTTTCAGTTGATGAGTCCCAATGTTAGCGACTAACCATTTTTACTTAGGATGTTGTCAAATAATTGTGAAATAATTAATTAATATTTAACAGATAGAGTAAACATATAGAGATCGATAGTTTGAGGTTTCTTTTAAAAAATGAAATATGTTGCTTCAAAAATGAAATACAAAGTGAACTTTTATAGGCGGATATACAACAACTGCGGTACACAACACAGCAATGATAACAAGTGTTTTTGTTGCAATACATCAGACTACTTATTATAAATAAATAGTATAAATATGAAATCCAAAATTTGATTATGTAATCATAAAATCGATGTTTAATAGTTAGCGTGACGTGACAAACGATATGAATGTGTTTCATGTCGTCTTTCTCGTACAACTCTGTGTTCTTTTAAGAAAATCAATTACTTGGGAAGAGATTCCTAGAGAATAATCGTTGACTGTTAACGGGGGACTTACAGTTGTACACTGGTCTAAGGTTTTCAATGGTTATTTGATATATATAGATTAGTGATCTCAACAAAATAGTTTACCTGAATAGTTTTCTATTTATAACGTAATTGTAATACAAACAATTCTGTGATACTGAACATGGACAGGATTTCTAATGAAAAGTACTCTAAGTAATATTTAGTGTGTTAATCACTGAAGTGAAATTTGATCGTGTTCATGTTCAGTCACCTGATTTTTATGACGTCTTATTCATATTTATGTTTCTGGAACTTAAAGAGAACATGAAACCTAACGGATTCAGTATCAATTGAGATCGTGAATTGGTCAATGTTAGCTTACTATTGAAAACCTGCAATCACTGAATGGCCGTTTCGTACTAGTATAGGACTCATCATAATTGCGCAGATGACCTT